AAAAAAAATGTACAAAATGATGTAAAAATAAACTTTTGTAATATTAAAAAAAAAATCACTATGTTCCTGGAAGAAAAACATCTCATAAGTGGGAATGAAACTAACAAAAGTGTGAAAGAATTATAAAAAGAAAATGGTGTAAAACATTGTTTAAAGTAATAGAAGAAAACACAAAGAAATGGAAAGACATTCCCTGCAATGGACTGGAAGAACTAACATTACAAAAATGGCTATCTTACCGAAAGCAACAGATGCCATTCCAATAAAAACCTCAGTGACGTTCTTCTTCAAATAAACAGAACAAATATTGATGAAATTCATATGGAGTCAAAAAAACCTCGAACAGACAAAGCTCTCCTGACTCACACCGAGTAGAACGGTGGTATCACATGCCAGACTTCAAACTACCTCCAGTTCTTAAAGACATTAATAAATTTTTTTTAAATGTTAAGTTTTGTATGTCTACAGCATCGCTGATCAGGGGCCGGATGGAGGCGGCCCTGCAGCGCCTGCGCTTCCAACCGTGAACCTCTCTGCAGACCTGGCTGGCATTTTCCCTCCTTTCTGCACTCGAGACCCTTCAGGGGTGCCCACGGGGACCTCACCCCTATTGCTCTCACAGGATCTAATCACCCGCCTCGAGTTCACCTGGAGAGGGTCCTCGGAGGCGAGGTGACCACGGGGCCTTTGTGCACTGTATTTATTTTTAAAAGATGTATTATGCATACAGAACTGGGGTACAGGCCAGACACAGCAGTGGTGAGAGGGTTCACCAGAGACAGAGTGGGGAGCAGAACAGGTGGAATGTGTACATCTACCGCTGAGAGGGGCGGAAAGGAGACAGGAGGGGTCTGCCATGCCCTGTGGGTCACTCCCTGGCCGGGGATGGAACTCGTGCTGCAGTGGCTGCGGCCAGCTGCATAACGCGGTGCCTTAACCTGCTGCGCCATGGGTGGGGTGGGGGTGGGGGCTGGGTGTTGGGGGGACCCTCTGTGCATTTTCCATTGCTGTCTGCGTGGCCCAACTTAGGGTGTGTGTGGCGGGGGGAGGGGACTTGGCTGGTCACTGAGGGCATCACTCCACTCTGGGCGGCCCAGTGACACACAGATGGGGCCTTAGTCACCTTCAGGACAGCAGGGAGTCCTTATTCACCTGGCAGGTGCCCCGAGCTAGGGGTGGAGGCTTCGGGGTGCGGGTGGGGAACCAAACGGAGGCGCGGCCGCTCTGGCGCCAGGCCGGTCTGGAGCGAGCAGAGGTCAAAGTGCAGCGGCGCACCTGGCACCTGGCGCACCCCTGGCACCGCCCCACTCTGGGTGGCACCAGGGCCGTCCCCTGCTGGGCCGCCTCTTCCCTGACACTATTTGAAGCCGGGAGCGCCTTGGACAGCTCCAGGACGCCCTCAGCTCGCTCCCGACTCGGCGCCCACACTTCTGGGTATGTGTCTGGCGTGGGCCGTTGCGGCCCGCGGGGTTCCTCACCGCTCACCTCAGGAAAGCAACGGAGGCTGAGGAAAAGCCGTTAGCCGCTCGGCGGGGGCTTGACTGAGGGACCGAGGGAGGGGCGTGGCTGCGTGAGGAGCGTGTCTGCGTGAGATGAGGGGCGTGTCTGCGTGAGATGAGGGGCGTG